CACAGTTGCTCAATAATATGTTTCGCAACAGTCGTCCATCACGCGCTCTGACAAACACACACACACACACACACACACACACATACACGTTTTTGTTACCTGGTGGGTCCCTTTGACAGGGCCGTTCAGAATGGGACCCATAGACATAATCTTTTTTTACCAAGACTTTAAGTAATACAAAACAGTCAATAGAAACCAAACAACTATTTTAAAGGAATTTTATTTTAGATTTTGTTTTCGAATTGCAGTGATTCTATTTTTGACATAGAATTTAATGCCACTCCATGTCCGATGTCTAAGGTCATCTGGTGAGGCATTAATGCAGGCCAGGCAGTGAGACTTCCCAGGGACCTTTCCAGTCTGTATGAAAGGTGTCATGGTCTTCTCCACAGCCTTCACCTCAGATGCAGACCATGGCTTTCTTACACGTTCTAGGGAGAGAAATAAAAATATATTAGCAATATACACTCCCAGGGTGAGGACCAAGCAGCCTGGCTGTAATCCCCCACCTGGTACACTTACCAGAAGGGGCACTGCCACTACCATGGGGTGCATCTGGATGAATGGTTGAAGGTTCTCCGCTTGAAGTTTCTTTTAGCCCGTCCGTTTGTGAGAGGATCTCTACTGCTCTCCCTGTCGCACAGAAAATAAAAATACAAGTGGCCTTTAGGGGAAAAAAATCATACATATTTTAATAATATCAAGAATTACCTTCAGGCTCAATTTGTATCTGGTCGAGGCTCTTTCCTTCGAATTCCGTCACTCTTCCCTGCTCCATGGCCATCAACACTTTGCTGATTTTGGCCAGCTCCAGTGTCCCCTCTGGTAGTCTGTAATATTGCCTGTGGATGCGAATGTCATGGCCGAGGAAGTTGGCAAGTATGTCCATCTCATTCTCTTTCATATTGAGAACTGTAGACATAGTAGCTATGTGCTTTCTAAGTTTGGTTGAGGATAGCATCTCTGGATGCACCGCACCACATTCTTTGGCTACCTGGCGTAGGGAGTCTGATCCCCTGATGTGGGTGTCTGCGCCCGGGCGGGAAAAGAAGTATGGGTTATGGTCAGAGATGGAACAGGCCCTTCTGTTCTCCACCAGCACCTCCATCGAAGCAATCATTTCAGGAGTCAAAAGAACCGGCACTTTCCGACTTCTTTTCCCTTTAATTTCAATGCGTTGAAAATGCTGACACAGCTTTTTCTCAAGTTGGGACAGTCCCAGAGCAATGTCAGAATGGATCCCAGTCTTACTTCTTAAGGTAAAGGCTGTCAGTGGCATCTTTGAAACCTCACCTTCCCTTCTTCGATTGAAAATGATGACCTCACAAAGAGTCAAAACTGCCAGTTTAGACCAATGCTTAGACGTTGGCTCACTTTATTAGGGTTTGCACATATTCAGGTCGACATACCTCAATATGTGCATGCATGGCTCTAACGTCCTCAGTCAGAGGGAGCAGGTCCGGAGTGTTCCACTTGGCTTGCCGGAGGGTCTGTAGGGCAGCAGAAGAAACACAGACGTCCCACCTCTTCTCAAAAAGCAGCCGGCTTCGTTGGAGGTTTTTAATAAATAGTTCATCAACACAATGCTCCATTTTTGAGTCACATTCAAGAATATCTGCTAGCTTTCTGAGGCTATGGCCGAGTTTGAGGGCCAAGGATGGAGTCTTGTATTGATTTGTTTCCTCATCATATCCAGCCACAGACCTGACTGCATCAATCACATGGTTAAAGTTGGAAGGAATAAAGAAATCCTTAATTGTTTTCAGTTTCCCTGCGGTTTTTGCTTCGTTAATTAACCTACCAACTTCTCTCATTTTCTGCCTAATGTAATCATGCTTTGTCTTATCATGCCCGTGTTTTAAGTACAGGTGCTCTCCGAGTCTCAGAATCCCCTTTTCTGCTTTGACAACACCCGTGACCTCATCCTGATGCATTGCCGAAATTAAAGACCACAGCTTTTTGCTGATGCCCTCCGGTACAGGCTGGGCTAGGGAGCAGAGGGACTGGACCCTACTTCTACCTGGTTTAGCCTGGGCATCTTTCTGTGAAAGCCGGCACCTGGCCACATGCCTCCACAGCGACTTTCGCTTAAGCAATGCCCCACAGTCTATACAGTGCAAAAACTCACTGGATTTAACTGGGGAATTTGGCTGTTTAGCTGGGACTAAAGTTCCAATGCCGGCCTTTAAAACCTCAAAATTGTGCTCACGGTTTCCACTATTCCTGATCAAATCAAACTGAAGTTTACGTGCTTTAGATTTCACAGGTAGAGCCAATGCTCTGGCTACGTCACTTTCATTTCCATGTTTTCTAGTCAAATGACGGGACATTTTGTGGCAGGACATTGAACAGTAGAGGCAGAAGTGTCTCTTGCTGTATACTCGCCCCCCATTTTTCTTCTTTTGCAGCTGCATGATAACAATCTTATTTGCCTTTGGTTCGTCACTTTCCGAGTCTTGAAGAAAAGTGTTTTTGATTTTTCTTTTTCCATACTTTTTTACAGGTTTCTTCTTGACAGTTAAATCGTCAGAATCTGAGTCGACTTCATCAATTAGGGACTCTTGACTAAGCTGCACAAACAACAAATAATTTGTAATCATTCTATATAACAATTTGAAGTCATGACTTGTAGTCAGCACTTACCAGTGGTTTGTAAGCGTGCGCTTCAGTGTGCTCCTCCATGATTTCTTGCAGCCTAATGAACCACACACTTGCACCTTTTTCTAGCCTGACACCTGATTTCCTCTGTTGTGCTGCTCCATGATTGGCTCCAGCCTGCTGGACTGAAATTGCCCCAGTGTGCCCCTCCTTGATATCCCGCAACCCACCACCAGGGTTCCGACACATAACACACTTTTTTCAGGAAAGTAAACCTCCAGGGGTCCTTTCCATATTTTTACAGAGACTGCATAAGGACCGTTAGAAAAGCATTACCCATTGATTATTAAGCTTGGACCAGTGGGGTCCGGTGTTCGGGCCCCACCACGTAAAACCAGTCCCCATGACGTGAGTGGAATCTCAGGTTATGGAACCCACCAGGAGTTGAAAACAAGTGCACACACACACACATACGCACGCACACACACACACACACACACACAGGGAGAGTGGGGGCACAAAAGTACATCTGGAAAAGTTATCTGGGCCGGAGATATATGACACAGCTGCAGTGGTGTTTTTGTGGTTCCCATCGGTGCAAGGCTGAAGATGGAGCCTTAAATCTGTGAGAAGAGAATTAGTTACAAGCTACGGCCACGGACCGGGGGTTGGGAACCACTGCTGCAGCCCTGTCCACTGTCATTTATCATTCAGACTTATCTGTGCAATAATAAATACACTGTACATTAACTTTTTGTCCTGATCTTTTTGCACCATATGACATTATTATATACCTTAAAAACAGTGAAAAAAATCCGTTATGTATTTTTTTTTCACTGTTTTTACGTTCTGCAACTTTTTAATCCAGCACGCTAGCCCAGACAACAGGGATGTGCAGCCTTGCTTGAAACTTTCTATTATTATATATACCTTGCCATTGCCTGAAATAATTGAATAAAGGAAATAAAAAATGAAAATGCTTTATTTCGAGCCAAACTAGAACAAAGTACAACAAAACAAACCAATAGAATGGAAAAAGAAACAATACATGATAATATACACATATACAGTATGTTTGGTTTTATTAACAAAAATCCATCTCAAAAAGGAGTGGGAATACGTTAAGACTTTTAAACTCCAACCCCGCATTTATTACAGGGGCGGGAGTTTTAAAAGTATTGAGTGATGTATTATAAGTAATGTTTATTTATATAGCGCTTTTTACAGACCAAGGTCACCCAAAGCGCTTTACAATGTTCAGAGTTCAAACACTGTTCCAATCATTCCACACACGGTGAAGACGGAAGCGAGACTACGAACATACTGGACCGTCAAAACCCCATTCAGCACCATCCATTCACTCATTTACATTCAGACCTATTGTTTTTAGTGGTAGGGGGAACCGGAGCACCCGGAGGTAACCTACGCAGACACGGGGAGAACATGCAAACTCCACTCAGAAAAGCCATGTTTTGACCAGGATATGGTCCTAGGTTTGAATCCTGGCCGAAACAGGGCTTTTCTGAGTGGAGTTTGCATGTTCTCCCCGTGTCTGCGTAGGTTTCCTCTGGGTGCTCCGGTTTCCCCTACCACATGGACAATAGGTCTGGATGAAATGAGTGAGTGAATGGATGGTGTATGGTTGGGGCTTCGATGCTCCAGTATGTTCGGCGTCTCACTTCCGTCATCACAGTGTGTTAAATGTGTGTGAGTAACTACTGTATCTGAACTCTGAACAATTGTAAAGCGCTTAATTAATAATCCATACTTACTTACATGTGTCCACTGTCCCTTTACTTAGTCACTTTTTTTCCCAGACCCTCATGCGGCCAACATGTACAGACGTAAACACACAACTACTTAATTCCTACTGCTCTGTACCTGGTGATGCAACACTGACATTTCCCCACTGTGGGACCAATAATCCAATTCCATTCATTCTTGTATAGCCCGAAATCACAAAAGAAGTTATCCCTGAGAAATTCACAAAACCATTAGAATTTTGCAACACAGATTAGAGAATCAAACAGTTCAAACACAAGAAATGCCATGATATAAAACACATTGGTCCATAAGAGGCAGAGACCAATGTCTGTAAATGTCGTTGAGTGCCGAGGGTCCTGGATCATCACCACTGTCCTCAGACCCTCCTGCATCAGCACGGGAAAACTTATAGGGTCTCTTAAACTTAATCAGTGCTCCCCAACCCTTGTTTGCAGCCCATGAATCACAATCCAGTTATGAATAGTTCAGAAAGGAAAGGAGAAGCAATAGTCACTGAAAAACCAAATACAACAGGTATGAATGACTCTAAGCACATCTTTGAGTAAGAACAGGATCAGACTCAGATCCAGTGAGTCCTGCTGACCGGCCTAAGCTCTTGTGCTGCTTGTGTCCCGCAGAGTCGGCTCAGGGTCCCAACGAGCAGCGGCTGTATGAAGAGCTCATGAGAAACTACAGCCCTCTGGTGCGACCCGTGCAGAACGACTCGGACACCCTCACCGTGCAGTTCGGCCTCTCCCTCATGCAGATCATGGACGTGGTTAGTCTCACACACAGCTGTATTGATGCTATCGTAACTAATGCATCATCTCAAGAAATGCTGCACACGTCGTTTATATTTTTAGTGATTTCATATTAGTGGAGTCTAGTCGAGTCAGCCAGACCATGTGAGGAATGCAGAGCTCCCCCAGCCAGATAAGAGTTGTTTGGAGAAGGAGATTGATGTCAGACCAGACCAGACAAAGTCCGGAGTCCATGGGCTAGCTGGGGTACGCGCCTCCCAAAACCAGAAAAAGCTGGATCAGACTGGACCAGTCTGGGACCTGTGACGTCATCAGACCTTCTGATAGAAACTGCTGGGAGGAGATTTTCAGGAAGTCAGAGTAGGGATAGAGACAGAGAACATGGCAGAGCGCCTGCATGTTCTCTGCACATTTTCAGGCCTGGAGGGAAAGTTTTAGGATGGCTCAGCATAGGGTTAGTTTTAGAGAATTAATGGCTCCAAGGGTTTTGTATCGATATTTAATTGTAAAGAGAATTAAATGTTCTATTTTTAACTCTTGCATTCTTGGCCTTATTTCTGTATCAAATTCTGAACACGTCAGTCAAATCTTTTTTGACGACATAACCTGGTCTTACCACACTATCGTACTAATTTCATTGATTACTAAGGTCTGGATTTGGAGGGGTTAACTCCTTTTGCAGATAGAAAAGATTGGATTTTGCCGTGGCGTATGTAGCGTGCCTGAGTGAGTCATTAGCATTTAGCCTAGCTTTAGCCATCTCCTTAGCCACTAACAGAGCCTGTGGAGAGAAGAACCACAAGATATTTGCAGCAATGACATTTGCTAAACATTCTTTTTGCTCCGGCTTCAATTTCGTGATATTTGGAGATTAACCAGAACGGATTACTTTACTATCGCATTCTCCGCCAAACTACAACCAGCAAATTTGCCGCAAACTCTCGACGTCACTGACACTGACCTACAACACCCGCCTCCCGAGCTCGCTGATTGGTCGGAGGGGTAACTGCAGCCACTAGGATCAGACCCAGACGTACATGTAGGAAATGACAGTTAGCTAAAGCCAGGCTAACACTACTGTATAATAATTAACGATTGAGATCTTCTGCTTACTTAAAGGCTTTTGAATGTAAAAAGTAAAATTATTTTTTGTTGAATGTTAATAAGACAATATTGTTTAGTTGTAACATTTTAAACATTGGTTCTTATTTCCATACTGCAGTGTAGAACCAATCACCCACAAGACTTTTTCAGACAAAGATGCAAAAGATTAGCTATAACAGGTGAAGCATGTCGTCGTCTGATTTGTTCACAACATTTTAACACAATTCTTTCTGTTATGAAAAACAACAATTATTAATGGACATAAGTTAAGTATCTCAGCTTTAAACTTCATTATTCCACTGGAGTAAATGACTATAAACAAAACATATAGAAGCCAAAATGTCTGAACTTAGAAGTATGGCTAACCACAAGAAATGAATAAACTTAGAAGCATGGCTAACTATTTCAAACCTGCTTTTCATGTTTTTTTGTCATCTGACATCCACCCCACAAGAGCTGTGATAATAAAGAATAGCACAACTTTTGCACTTTAAAATCTTGCTCGAACAAAAGTCTAAAAATTATGTAAAAGATGTATTCATTTTTGTGTTATTTCGTAAATGCTTTTTATTCTCTGTGTTTTAAATGTCATAATGAGAAGCGATCGTTTTTGTGGAGTGGACCCCATGAAGACTAGCGACCACTGGAAGCTAAAGGGGATCCAAATAAATACCCCAATAAATAGATTTTAACTCTGCTACAATCGTCCAGTTCAATACTTGAGTAAAAATACTTTTCATTCTAGCTCTGAGTGTGAGTGTGCTTTCTCTTCGCAGGATGAGAAGAACCAGGTCTTGACCACCAACATTTGGCTCCAAATGGTAAGAGCTGCCATTTTATGCCTATCCAGGCTTCCGTACTGCCCTTCTCCCCTTCTCCACTTTGATGTTTGCCTCGTAAACCAAAGCCATTTCCTAGTTTGTGACTTGTTACTGTCACAAGGTGGAAAGGAGGAGGACCCAAAAATTATGACAAAACAAAAGTCCAGGGAAAAACCGTCAAAAAATCCAAAGGAACAAGGAACTGGACAGAACCGGACAGAACCGGACAGAACCGGACGGAACCGGACAGAACTGGACAGAACCAGACGGAACAGGACGGAACAGGACGGAACAGACATGGACGGAACTTGACTATACTGTGAATAAGAACAAGTGACTTGGCATTTATTTTTGTTTTTATCGTGTGCTGTGGTTTTGTGTTTTTATCTTGCCGTGCATTTTAACCTTATTTATAGTTTTAAGGACTTGCTATAGTCACATGTTTTTATCACATGGCTTTTACCCCAATCCCTGCTGCGGGACAATCAAAAGCACCTGTGTCTGGTGGAAATTGGAGCAAATAAAAGGAGCGCAGGAGCCACGACAGGGGAGACACAGAGAGAGGCATAGAGAGACAACAAGCACGCAGGAGCAGGAGCAGGAAAGCCGCGGCACCCCACCACAAGCAGGACGAGCAGGACGGCACACGCATCGGGACTACAGCACGCTGAGACCGCAAGTGTTGCGAGGCGATATACACGCAGAGGCAGAGGGGAACTCTGCCTTCCGTGTAAGTACCTTTTGGGGGCATAGTAACACTTGTCGGATAAAGTTAGATCGAGCACATCACTGTTTAGAACGTTTGACTGCCGCTAGTGATTTCCGCGTAGGTGTCTCAGCGTGCGGAGGACGAGAGCCAGACGGGAGGAGTCGAGACTAAGTGAAGGAGTGTTGTGACGCTGAACACACGCAGGGGCAGAGGATAACTCTGCCTTGTGTGTAAGTATTGTAGCGACACTCCACCATCGTAGCCTAAGGCCTTATAGCTTCGGACCCCCGTACTGGCGTATGTTTTGCATTCTAGGTGGCCCGGTGCGTGTGACCCAGGTTGGAGTGCTGCCCTGGACCAGGAGGGAGTGGGACCTGCCTGCACCTGACCGTGGACCGTGCCTTTTAGTAGTTTTAACCTTTTTTTAGCCCACCTTGTTTTTAATGGACTTTTGACAGTGTTTTTATTTGTGGGCATTTTTTTTACTGTTTTAATTATTCCTTGTATTAAATTTTAATAACTTGCCACGACCTTTTTGTCCTCCTTGGTAGACAAGTGTGCTCTCACCCGGTCACTCAATCTCTTTTTTTGCAATAGTTATTTTTCCGGTCAGATTTCATTCCGCTTCCAAACACCTCCATAGCCCCCCCTCGTTACATAATTTGGCGTTGCTGGCAGGATCTGGGTCTCGAGCACACTTGTTTGCCAGGGAGAAAGGAGCCATGATGATGCCAGTATATCCTGGTGCCCCCTGGCTCCCTAAGTTTAAAGGGCCAGGGGATGACTTAAAACTCTGTGATTGGAAAGAACAAATGGAAGGGTTGTTGGGGTCTCAAGAGCTAACTGAGCCTAGAAGGGTTGCTATTGTGTTGGGAGCATTAGCCGGTGAAGCCAAGCGTCAAGTCAGTGTCCTAGAGGATGACAAAAAAGACACAGCTCGAAAAAAATTTGCGTATCTTTGCTCCCTCTATGGTGACCAAACCCCGACATCTGTTGTTAGGTCACAATTTTTTTGTTGTGCTCAAAAGCCGGGTGAAACGGTCCAGTCTTTTGTTTTACGTCTCCGTGAGTTGTATTGCAGGCTACGGCGGCACGACGACCCCCCCTCCGAGGCAGCCTTGAGAGATCAGCTGCTTCTAGGACTGCGTGAAGGACCAATGGCACAGGCGCTAAAAGTGTATGCTCGTTGGCACCCAGATGCAGATTTTGCAGCGCTGCGAGAGGAGGCGCTGTTGTTGGACTCTGAATATGGCAGCTCTGCATCAGAGGTAACGTGCTCCATTGTCAATAATAAGTCTAGATTTTCAAAGGAACCATATTCGGACTGGAAGGAGACCCTCAAGCGTGACATAATGGAGGAAGTGAAGGCTGAGATGAAGGGATTGGCACAGGAACTAATAAGGGAGCTCAAACCTCACTTGTCACCGGTTGCAACCGCCGCAGAGCCGCCAGTAACACCCCGGAGCTACTACCGATCCCCCCCACGCAACCAACGAGATGAACGAGGTAGGCCCATTTGTCGACTGTGCAATAAAGCTGGACATATAGCCAGATACTGTCGGACGACATCTGCCTCAGGGCCAGCTTTAAACTAGCTGTCCCTGCCGCTGAGGTCCGTTCGGCAGGGGTGGCTGGTCCAACAGCACAGACGAGGGCCACAGAGACATTCATAGGCCAATGTCCAACAATAAAAATCACTGCTGAAGGAGTTGAATTGGAAGGGCTGCTAGATACAGGGTCACAAGTAACTTTAATGGCCGAGAGTGTGTTCAATGAACATTTTACCCAGGCTAAGCTTGGAAGGACACCTGTACTGTTTAAATTGAGAGCAGCTAATGGTCTGGAGATCCCGTATATTGGGTATGCCGTGCTTGACTTGGCAGTCGAAGGGACACAGATTCCTGGACGTGGAGTAGTGATTGTAAGAGATGAGGATTGTACGCATCCCCTTATTGTTGGAATGAATGTTGTGATGGCTTGTTGGGATGCATTCTTTAAATGGCCCGGAAAGTCTGCCCTTCCTCCACAGAAACTTGGGAAGCCCTGGCGAGATGCCTTCACCACCTGTCGCCGCGTTGAAGCTACTGTTGCTGAGGATGGGTTCCTAGGGCACGTGCGGCTGTCTGGTGGGCGGGCCTTCACTGTCCCTCCTAACAGCGAGCTGCTTGTGTGGGGTAAAACCCGGATGGGCCCTGACGGCGCAGACTACTGTGCCCTGGTCGAGGCACTGCCAAATGCTGGCGAAGTGGGTGTGGCCCGAACCATCGGAGTGGTAAGAAACGGCAGAATCCCAATACGTGTCTGTAACCCACATCCTTACGGCTGGACAATAGGCCGCTATCAGAAACTTGGACGCCTTTACCAAATTGATTCTGCTGATGTGCACGGTCCTGACGATGTGAGCCTGTCTCTGGAGGAAGATGGGGTGGTTGAAGTGGCCCTGGTCCACACCACACCTGACCCTGGACAACATGGCCTCCCCGAGGAGGTGAGAAACCTATCTAACCGAAGTGACTTGTCTGAGCAGCAGCAGGAAGAGCTTGGTGCGCTTTTGCAAAAATGGGAGAAGGTCTTCGCAAAGCACGATGAGGACTTCGGCCGGACCAACGCAGTACAACATCGCATCCACACGGGTGATTCTGCGCCTACCAGAGAAAGGTACAGACCGCTCCCACCCTCGCTCTACAAAGAGGTGAAGTCCCTGTTAGCAGGTATGTTGGAGAAGGGAGTCATCAAAGAGAGCTGTAGCCCTTGGGCAGCACCCATAGTTTTGGTGCGGAAGAAAGATGGGAGTTTACGGTTTTGTGTTGACTACAGAAAGCTAAATGCAGTAACACACAAGGACGCATTCCCACTGCCAAGGATAGAAGAGACTCTGACCAGTTTGAGCCGAGCAGAGTGGTTTACCACCCTTGACCTCGCCAGTGGCTACTGGCAGGTTGAGATGCACCCACAGGATCAAGAAAAGACTGCTTTTACTACTCCACTAGGGCTGTTTGAATTTGAGCGCATGCCGTTTGGCCTTTGTAACGCTCCCGCAACGTTCCAAAGACTTATGCAACAGTGTCTAAGTGGTCAAATTGCGGAGTCTTTGCTCGTCTATTTGGATGACATAATCATCTATTCACCTGACTTTTCCTCTCACCTACAGCACCTAGATGAGGTCTTCAACCGGTTGTGGCGACATGGATTAAAGCTCCGTTCCGATAAATGTAAGCTGCTGCAGTCTGAGGTCAAGTTTCTGGGACATGTAGTTGATCGTCGTGGTGTAAGACCTGACCCTGAAAAAGTTAACTCTGTCCTAGACTGGCCTGTACCAACCACGATCAAGCAAGTAAGAGCATTTTTGGGACTAGCAGGCTATTACAGGAGGTTTGTGTCTGGGTTTGCTAAAATCGCACGCCCCCTGAATTCCCTGTTGGCTGTCGTTCCTGCGGACAAAAGGTCTCAAGCGCACAAAGTGCAATGGACCTCTGAATGCCAAGCTTCCTTTGACACCTTAAAGACTGAATTGACTAAGGCCCCTATTTTGGCTTACGCTAATTTTGACCAGCCATTTGTGGTATACACTGATGCTAGTCATGATGGACTTGGAGCTGTGCTTGCCCAGGTGCAAGAAGGGCGGGAGCGTGTAATCGCTTACGCAAGCAGGAGCCTGCACCCCACTGAGCGCAACGATGCTAATTACAGCTCGTTCAAGTTGGAACTGTTGGCACTTAAGTGGGCTATAACGGAAAAGTTCAAGGACTATTTGACAGGAGCGCAATTTACTGTGTTTACTGACAATAACCCTCTAGCTCACCTACAGACCGCACGGCTTGGCGCATGTGAACAACGCTGGGTCGCCCAACTAGCCTCCTTCAATTACAACATAAAGTACCGGTCCGGTAAAAGTAATGTAAACGCTGACGTCCTCTCCAGATTTCCAATCCCTACAGCCCATTCAAGTAACCCAGACCCGGAGCCTGCTACGTTTGCTACAGCTGTGGAGCTGGTCCCAGAGGGAGGTGAATGGGAAGAGGCCCAGGCAGCAGATGCCGACATTCAGCGTGTGAAGAGTTACGTGGAGAAGAAGAAAATGCCAGGAAAGCAAGAACGCCAGGCCCTGTCCAGCGACGCACAGCGGCTGTTGCAGCAATGGAAAAAGCTTCAGGTGAAGAGTAACCTATTGTGCCGCAAGGTAATCGATCAAAAGACCTATGAAGTGCACTATCAGACTGTTTGTCCGAGCTCCAGGCGCGAAGAAGTCTGGAGAAAGGTCCACGATGCTGGTGCCCATGCTGGTGTCGACAAAACCCTCGCTAGCCTCCGACAGCACTTCTATTGGCCTAATATGGAGGGGGAGGTGTGTCGTTTCCATCTGGGTTGTGTTGCCTGTAGCCTGCAAAAAAGTAGGGTTGAGCCTAAAGCCCCTCTTAAACCTATTCCCGCTTCCTACCCTCTCGAAGTAATCGCCTTGGACTATTTGTCCCTAGGTCGCCCCAATGATGTTCACCAAAACATCCTGGTTGCCACGGATAAGTTTACACATTTTGCGTGGGCAATACCTACCCGCGACCAAACGGCTAAAACCACGGTTGACGCGATCTGGTCCAAGATCATTCAGAATTTTGGCTGCCCGGCCCGTTTCCATTCGGACCAGGGAGCCAATTTTGAGTCGTCCTTAATGAAAGAACTTTGCGACACTTATTACTAAGAGTCGGACTACACCTTATCACCCGGCCGGCAATGGCAGTGCTGAACGTTTTAATCAGACCTTGCTCAAAATGTTGCGCACTTTAGAGGAAGAGAAGCAGAATCGCTGGCCGCAGTACTTGCCAGAGCTTGTGCACGCTTATAATAATACTGAACATTCCGCTACTGGTTATGCTCCGTCCTTTTTAATGTTCGGTCGTCACTTGCGTCTCCCTGTTGATGTAGACCTAGCTGTTAGCCCCCAACAACCCCGTCACAGTGTAAATGAGTGGGTCCAGGACCACCAACACAAAATGTCTGTAGCCTATCGCATTGCACGAGAGAAAACGGGTAATTTAGCATCCCAGCAAAAGGAACAGTACGACAAGTCAGCAAAAGCCTTGCCCTTCTTGCCTGGTGAGAGGGTACTGGTACGCTTTAGAAATAGGCGAGGCAGAGGTAAGCTGGCACCTTGGTGGTCCCCAGACCCTCACATTGTTGTGGAGCAAATGGGAGGCACAGGACTGGTGTACAGAGTCCGCCCTGAGCGAGGTGGCCGTGAACAAACCTTGCACAGAAACTCTTTAAAACTATGCACCTTACCTCCAGCTGTACTCCCACAGGCAGCTGCGGAACTGCCACAGGACCAAGGACCTGTTTTACCCGTGTTTCATGGCTTTTTACCTTTTAGACCAGCTGAGCAGGACGTTATGGACATGGCCCCTAGAAGGTCAAACCGTTCTACTCTTGGACAACCGCCGGCACGGTACAGAGACTGAACTGTTTTTATGTTGCAGGGACTGACAACCTTAGAATGTGGGGGGATGTGAATAAGAACAAGTGACTTGGCATTTATTTTTGTTTTTATCGTGTGCTGTAGTTTTGTGTTTTTATCTTGCCGTGCATTTTAACCTTATTTATAGTTTTAAGGACTTGCTATAGTCACATGTTTTTATCACATGGCTTTTACCCCAATCCCTGCTGCGGGACAATCAAAAGCACCTGTGTCTGGTGGAAATTGGAGCAAATAAAAGGAGCGCAGGAGCCACGACAGGGGAGACACAGAGAGAGGCATAGAGAGACAACAAGCACGCAGGAGCAGGAGCAGGAAAGCCGCGGCACCCCACCACAAGCAGGACGAGCAGGACGGCACACGTATCGGGACTACAGCACGCTGAGACCGCAAGTGTTGCGAGGCGATATACACGCAGAGGCAGAGGGGAACTCTGCCTTCCGTGTAAGTACCTTTTGGGGGCATAGTAACACTTGTCGGATAAAGTTAGATCGAGCACATCACTGTTTAGAACGTTTGACTGCCGCTAGTGATTTCCGCGTAGGTGTCTCAGCGTGCGGAGGACGAGAGCCAGACGGGAGGAGTCGAGACTAAGTGAAGGAGTGTTGTGACGCTGAACACACGCAGGGGCAGAGGATAACTCTGCCTTGTGTGTAAGTATTGAAGCGACACTCCACCATCGTAGCCTAAGGCCTTATAGCTTCGGACCCCCGTACTGGCGTATGTTTTGCCTTCTAGGTGGCCCGGTGCGTGTGACCCAGGTTGGAGTGCTGCCCTGGACCAGGAGGGAGTGGGACCTGCCTGCACCTGACCGTGGACCGTGCCTTTTAGTAGTTTTAACCTTTTTTTAGCCCACCTTGTTTTTAATGGACTTTTAACAGTGTTTTTATTTGTGGGCATTTTTTTTACTGTTTTAATTATTCCTTGTATTAAATTTTAATAACTTGCCACGACCTTTTTGTCCTCCTTGGTAGACAAGTGTGCTCTCACCCGGTCACTCAATCTCTTTTTTTGCAATAGTTATTTTTCTCCAGCAGGATAGACTACTGCCAAATGGCCTGCTTACAGGTGTCCAAAACAGACCTGTAAGCAGCTGCAGTACATCCAAAATTGCAGCAGCTAGAGTCCTGACAGGAACCAGGAAGAAGACAATATTAGTCGGTCCTCAGGTCCTCTGCACTGGCTTCCTGTGGTCTCAAAGAATAGATTTTAAAAAACGGATCTGCTTGTAGTACAAGTCCTCCACATGGACTTGCACCAGAATACATTAGTGACATGTTGGTGGTCATATGAACGGCCCGGACTCTGAGGAGCAGAGGGACTGGCATCCTGTGCTGGTGCCCAGAGTGAGGAAACCAAACATGGGGAGCTGCGTTTCAGATCCATTGCAGCTAAGATCTGAACAATCTCCCTGAAAAATGTGAGGGAGGCGTCTACTCTGTCAAATGTTCAAATCCAGGTTAAAGACTGTTCTGTGTGCCTGTGGCATTAACTGAAGGATTTTATCTCCCATTTTTAATGCACTGCTGTCATTTATTATTTTTTTTAAATTTCTTGTGTAATTTTGAAAGTTGTACTGGGTGTTTTATTCTTTGTGTGATTTTAATGTTTAATTGATGTTTTAATCTTTTGGTGTGATTTTAATGTTTAATTGTGAATTGGTGTTTGTTTTAAGTGATGATTTGATGAGTTGTGGGACTGTGAAGCGCTTTTGTTGCCCTTGTATGAAAAGGGCCCGCCGCCACTCTACAAATAACTTTGATTTGATTGATTGATATTAATAAATGCACGTATATTTTGTCTATTCAAATTGAGGGGCTAGACTGCAAATGTAGGTCACCAGCCCACCTGCGAAACTAGTGGTGTGTTGACGGGTGCGATCATGATGTTGTCACCCTGCGTGCCTTTTACGTGACTCGAACGTGGACAATAAACGTTGGACACGGAATATTTTTTGTATAGTTCTGGTCATTTAAGAGTGCAACACGAATCTTGGTGTTCTGATCGGTGGAGATCGCATCGGGAACGACGGTGTTGTGGAAAAAGAGACAGAGTTGGGAGTTTACGCTAAAGCCACCAGCTGCAGGCCAGGAGCGCATCGCGCACTCACTGAGACTGAAGCTGTTACTGTACGCTTACGGTAAAAACCATTTACAAATTATGTCTACTACAAGCGGAAGATGTCGGAGAGTTGGGAGAATGCAATGGGACGGATTGAGGAAAATTAATGCTTTGTCTGCTGCGGATTTATATGATCTTTTGTTCAATCTTGGGAGCATCAGTGAGTGAAGAGGACCAGACCTTACTCAGTGCAATGGGACTATCAATACAGAATCTGGAAGGAGAAAAGATGTTGATCATCGCTCGACGGATGGAAGGATTATCGTTGTTGCTCATAGTTACTGACCGGCATTGATGAATTAAAGAGTTTACCACTCAGCTACTCTGCTGCGCCAGCTCTCCCTCTGCTGGATACAGCAGGTGCTGCATCACATCCCCAAAGTGCACTGCTGCCCCACTAATTCAGGTGCGTTTCCCATGTGACTCTGACTCCATTAATGCCAACCCACCATTTGTGCACCAATTGTACAGAAAGAATAACCGATAATGGGACAGATTGGTGAACCACATCAAAAAGACAAACTTGGATATCCAGTTTGTGAGAGTCAAATCCAAAAAGCACTAACTATAAGTTTACAGTGAGTCGGACTAGAACTGGACTCCAGGGGAAGACACCAATTCAGTTTGTGCTCCCGGAGCAATGGACTTAAGACGGCAAATTTTATTTGCATCCAAAGGGCGAAAGTGGACTCAAATACAGCGGATTTAATCAAAGATAAATTCCTTGCAAACTGTACATTACGAGGCTGG